GAGTCCCATATAGGAAGGTCAGTGATGAAGAATTCTGGGAATTGTGACTGGGCAACCTTCTACTTTATGACTTTCAATATTTGGTGTACAGGATGCTACTCACAGGTAGGTTGGCATTTCTGCAAGCTGCCTGTTCCAGACCTCCAGTTGGTATGGAATTCACTTTATTATCTCAGTGATGATGGCACATTTAGATTCATTGCAGATATACAGTCAATAGGTGTACAAAAGCTGACACAATGATCCAATATTCCAACCACACATACATTTGTTAACCATATGGAAAGATTACCAGGAAGAAAAGAAAGCAGTATGAATCAGTCAAACTATTCTCCAAAGCATCTGAGAGTAGAACAAGAAGCAATGGGTGGAAACTAATCAAGGAGAAAAGCAACTTAGAACTAAGGAGAAATTTCCTGACAGTTAGAACAATTAATCAGTGGAACAACTTGCCTCCAGAAGCTGTGAATGCTCCAACACTGGAAGTTTTTAAGAAGAGATTAGATAACCATTTGTCTGAAGTGGTGTAGGGTTTCCTGCCTAAGCAGGGGGTTGGACTAGAAGACCTCCAAGGTCCCTTCCAACTCTGTTATTCTAAACTTCTAAACAGAAGGAGAAGAAAAAAAAAAACAGGAGCACTCCTGAACAAAGTAAGGTAAGGAATATAAAGTAGATAAAGTTTTAAAAAGTGAAAGTTACAAGTTAATTCCTGACGGAAAAAACAGTCAATCTGCACTAGTGAATAGTAGAGAAATGTGCTTCTTTTCAGTTAAGGTCCAAAGCGCTTTTGAATCAGTTCTGACACTGATATCCGCCAACAAAATAACCATTCTCTGAGTTTCCTTGCTCCTGGGAGTGGAACTATTATAACAGGAGCCTCCAATCCCAAAACTCACCCAGTGGATTGAAGAGAATAAAGTGCTAGACAATATTGAGAGCATTGAAAGATCAAGCAGGATCAAAAGTATTAAGCTACAAGAAGTCAGCTAACAGACTGACTAAAATGGTATTTTCTGCAGTACCCAGCCTGATGCCAGAATGGACAGGTACAGTAATTGTTTCTGGACTTGTAACTTTCTGTTAATCCCCCACTTACCTTCAAATGATCTTTGGGCTACATTTCTTTGCTCCCTTTTAGTAGTATACTTTTTCATGATTTGTCAGCTGAATGCCTATCCATTCAGCCTAGAAGTTTGATTTATTACAGGCTTCCCACGGCAGCTCATTGGCTACTTTACAGAAAATATCATGAACATAATAAGCCAAACTGTCATATAAAATGTTTTTTTCCCCATTTTTAAACTGCCCATCTTCTTCAGAGGGGAGCTCTTTCCTTCTACTTTGGTAAAATGTATGCCCAGTTAATACATTTATTAAAATCTCATAATATTGGACAGAATAAAAGGGGACTAGCAAAATGGTATATATAGCAAACCAATAAAATGGAGCAATCCTCTAAAGTGAATATTGAAACTCAGTTTTATGAGGCCGCTTTTGCTGAATTTCTGCTTAAGCATCATAAAATAATACACTCAAGCTTTGTTTTAAATTACAGACCTCCAAGTGAGTTGCTATAATTAATAACCCAGATCTAAAATGCTTAATAATCTAGTATAAAGCATATGGCATCATTGTATTTTCAAAACTATTTTCAGCTATCATTAATAATATATCTCTCTTCTTTCTGTGAAAGAACGCTTCTGCATGCCACAGTAAATATGAATAAACAGATGTTGTACTGAGACTCTAATATATAGAAATGTATATATTGTTAAATTTTAATGACCAAAATGCCACTAATTGTTTCAATAATAGCAATGATTAGTAACATCAAGGACATACTCATATGCAATTTATTTCTCCCCATTCGTTATTGTGTTTGTTATATTACATGCCATATTTTATTTTTTTCCTTGAATTCTTTGCTTGTTTGGTGATAGAGGTTTATTTTTTCCCAGTGGGCTAGTAGAATAAATAACATCTACTTTTATTTGATGTTCAATCATTATGTCTTTTAAGAAAATGGTGCTCGTATTATAATCAGCAGTTTTGTCCCTGATTAAATTTTATTCTATGAAAAAAGAAATCCCTAAAATTTATTTTCGAAAGAGGCTTTTATAAAAAACAACTTTTTAAAAGTATCCATTTAATATTCTAGGATGTTTCTAATTCTTTTTAATTATATCGTGCACTGATGAGAATTTTCACAGTGAGCAAACATGTTTCTGTTTAAAAATATCAAATACACTCATGATACCAATATGGCAAATGTAAGCAAGGAAAAGCACGGTCACTCATGCCCTCGTCACCTCCCGCCTGGACTATTGCAATGCTCTCTACATGGGGCTCCCCTTGAGGAGCACCCAGAGGCTCCAACTGGCGCAGAATGCGGCCGCGCGGGTGGTAATGGGAGCGACATGGCGCTCCCATGTAACACCTCTCCTGCGCGAGCTGCACTGGCTCCCAGTGGTCTTCCGGGTGCGCTTCAAGGTTTTGGTTACCACCTTTAAAGCGCTCCATGGCTTAGGACCTGGTTATCTACGGGACCGCCTACTACCACCAATAGCCTCCCACCGGCCAGTACGCTCTCATAGAGAGGGACTCCTCCGGGTGCCGTCTGCCAAACAGTGTCGGCTGGCGACCCCTAGGGGGAGAGCCTTCTCTGTGGGGGCACCTACCGTCTGGAATGAGCTCCCCCCAGAGATACGGAGGATCCCAGATCTGCGCACCTTCCGCCGCGCTGTGAAGACCTTTTTATTCCATCAGGCGGGCTTGGCCTAATCTCTTCCCTTTTTTAAATATGTAAATTTTAATCTGTTTTTAAATTATTGGGGTGTTTTAATCTGTCTGGGCCAAAATGATTTAATTTGATTTTATCTGGTTTTTAAATTTTTTGTATCTATGTATTTTATTGTTTGGCTGTTCACCACCCTGAGTCCTTCGGGAGTAGGGCGGTGTACAAATCAAATAAACTAAACTAAATAAACTAAAATTTAAGGGTTGTTTTGTCTGAGATACAAAAGATTGTAAAAGCCATTAGGTGCCCAATATTAAAATATGCACACGTGTATACACACATGCACAGGCACACACACAGAGACACACAGACACATACAACCTAATAATTTATGGCAAATTGATGGAGAAGTCAAAACAATAACAAACTTTTTCTTCCCAAGCTCAAAAATTCATGTTGGAGAAAATCGTTGACAATAACTAGGACTCCATGAGTAGGGCAAAGAACTGAATAGAAGGTGAAATAAAACCAGATTTCTTATTGGAATATAAAAAATAGTATATACATAATCATTGGAAAATACTGTAAAGCTTGGGAAATGGAAGGCGATAAAAGAGTGAAGCTGGCAGGAGACAAGATGGTGAAATCCCTGGTGAAATTAAATCCACTAGTCCACAAAGAGCAAGAAATGAGTGAACAAAGAAACAAAACAAAATGGTTTGATTTCACTTCATGAGATATGAATCATTTTGTTTTCAATGTGGTTTAATGTTCAGGGTCTTGTTTAGGCTAAAAGACAAGCTATACCAGTGATGGCGAACCTTTTCAGCACCGAGTGCCAAAAAGACAGCCTGCATGCGTCTGGGCTGCAACCTGGAAGAGAAGCCGCCAGGGTGCATGCACACGCCCGAAAATGAACTTCCAGTTTTCTGGCACGCATGCTTACGCGATGATCAGCTGGCTGGCATGCCTGCTCATGCAGGAAAATGGAAGACCAGCTAGAGGATTGTCTACTTTCTGGCACTGCCTCATGCAAAAAGGCCAACTGATTGTTGCATGTGCACCAGAAACCCAGAAGAGGAACGGGTGACGCTGCGCATGCCAGGCAACATGGCTCCACGTGCCACTTCGGCCACATGTGCCAAAGGTTCGCCATCACGGAGCTATACTATAATGTGATAGTATTATCACATTATAATGTGATTTTATAAGCTATACTATAATGTAATAATATTATCACATTATATCTCAACTGAAAAAAGATAGCTGCGCCTTTTTTAATCTCAATCATATTTTAAAGTAGTTCTCCTCAAAACATTACTTCAGCAATGCTTCTTTTCTATGATAGTCTAGATTTCCAGGTATTTAAGATACTTATATAAGGATTGGACCAGGGGTGAAATGTAAAATTTGTTACTACCAGTTCTGTGGGCATGGCTTGGTGGGGGTGGGGGTAATGTGACTGGGTGGGCGTGGCCAACTTTTTTTTTTTTTTAACATTTCAAAGCATTTTTTCTACAACCTCTTCGGTCAAAGAGGTTGCAGAAAAAAATGCTTTGAAAAGCCTCTGATGATCCCAGCTGAGCCACGCGATCATCAGATGCTTTTTTTAAAAAAACTTTTTAAAGCATTTTTTCAGCGGAAGAGTTTGTAGGAAAAATGTTTTTAAAAGTTAAAAAAAAAGCCTCTGATGATTGTACGGCTCAGCTGGACATGGGGAGGGGTGTGCAGGGATTTTTGCTACTGGTTCTCTGAACCACCACCTGCCATCGCTACCGGATTGGGCAATCCGGTCCGAACCGGGAGCATTTCACCCTTGGATTGGACTTAATAATCAAAATAATCATTTTTTATTCAAAAGTGCCACACAAGGCACTTTTACTGCTAACACTTTTACTGTTACTGCTAACTATTCATTTATAATCCTAAATATGTGTAATTTAAAGGAATTATCATTACTTTCAGCAGATTTCACTTTGGGATCCACGTGTATTTGAATCCACATGTATATTTCTTAATAGAAATTTTTCTGTTTTTCATTAAATCTGTGTAGAAAATGTTGACGCTGAAATATATAGTCTCATACAATATATTACAAATATTGATACTTAAAAAAATAATTTTAAAAATGAACATAATGTACTCAAATATTTAACATCTAAGCATTTGTATGATGGTTAGTATATTGAAGTATTTAATGCAATATAGCAACTTAAATAGACCATAACATCTGAAATAATAATCACATCTGAAGGCTTGTAAATTTCTTGTCTTCTTTTCATTTATTGGTAATGTTAACTCTTATATCTTATCCAGACAACTAATTACAAACCAGGGATTAATATACAGAGCCCAAAAGATATAAGATAATATAGATGACTCATGTCCAGCATATAACAATACATTACATATACCTTCTAGTTGATGGGATGTGAAAATAATATGTTGTTTGGACTTGGATAAAAATAACATTCTTATCTCCACACACTATTTTTAGGCAACATGGAAAACATCAGATGAATTCTTCAGTAAAGGGAAGTTGGACAGAAAGTTAAAATTGATTTAAGGGCAAATGTGAGATATCTCAGTTGTTTTGACCTACAGAAGTAAGCTAGTGGAGATTACTGAAATTAGAAAGGTAAGTATCTTTTGCATCTTATATAAATTTTCATAATGCATATCCATCTCCTTAAGCAAGAAGGTTGACAAATTCATTAGATGAGCTGATAAAAACACTGAGCCATTAAATGAGTACACCTCATGATAAAATCTGATAAACACCTGATAAGGGAGTTAGAGGAATGAGTAGAAATGATTTAAGTAGTCTATACAAAAATCTAAGTTCACATACCACACTAAATAAATGTCTTCAGAACAAGGCAGCAATCCACTAGTAACCAATTCTGACAAATGATAGTGAATTCAGGTAATAAAGCCTGCCTGAATGAGAACAAGTCTTCGGACACATAGGATTCTTGACTCACATCTGCACTGCTGCACGATTGCATTAAACATAATGGATTCGGTGCCTTCAGGCACAGTTTTATTGTTTAGAATCTCTCTTGACATGTCGAAGGAAAACAAAGCAATTTAATTCTACATTCTAACCTTTTGCAAAGATATTTGAATACAAGAAATTATATGATGCCAAGAATGTTTGTTTACAATGATTCAGCCAAGGATTTGGTTACTATTTTAACTATATTGAATGGGCATATTTTAAGTAGTTTCCTATCTAGAAATTCCATAAAGCAGACACCGTATGTGAAAGCATTTATGCATAAATTCATATCTGTCCTATTTCTGTCCAACTGTTATCTGTCTGTCTTTGTAGGGCTCATACATTATCATAATATAAACTGTAGGAATGTTACAGGCAGAGACTGAGTAGAGCAATTTAGGGAAATAAGATGCACTGACCAGTGCGGGAACCAATAAGGGTGTGCTATATGCTGTAGAAAATATTTTGTATCAAAACTAGACCTACTTATCCATCACTTCCTTGCTGAAAAGTGGTAGTTGATATTTCTTAATGAGCTGGCCAAGAATTTTTTTAGGTTCCCTTGCTTTTTAAAACCAGAAAATATTAATTATGGAGGAGAAACTGATTTAAATATTAAACTATGGTGTTGTGAACAACTGCTTTTCAAAGAATGAGGAATCTACAATCATGTGAAGGAATACTTTTAATAGCACTATAGTAATAGCATTTAGACTTATATACCACTTCACAGTGCTTTACAGCCCTGTCTAAGCGGTTTACAGAGTCAGCCTATTGCCCCCAACAATCTAGGTCCTCATTTTACCCACCTAGGAAGGATGGAAGGCTGAGTCAACCTTGAGCCTCGTGAGATTCAATCTGCCAAATTGCAGGCAGCCAGCAGGCAGCAGATGTAGCCTGCAGTACTGCATTCTAACCACTGTGCCACCGCGGGTCTTAACTCTACTATTGTCAGTTACAGAGGTAATTAACTTTTGTCCTTCTCATATAGTATTGCATTCTTGCTCTGATGACCAAAAACAGTAGACCTATGTGTATAGATCACCTTCTGCATATTCTAATTTAAGCCTCACATGGCTGAATGTATAATTAAGCTGAAGTATACCGTTTTTGTCAGTTGATTTGAAATTGTCTATAGTAGAACCTGTGCTAGTTCATTTTCAGAACAGACTCAGTCTCTGATGTTGGAGTTTTCAAATGATAAACATCTTATTTGATCAAGCCAACTTCAGTCCACTGCTAGCTATATTGAATACATGAATGTGATAGGTTCCTTCTCAGAATAGAAAGGGGTCATTTTTTCTTCCAACACTTAGCTATATGTACCACATGAAAATGTCACCACTTTCGTGTGGTTTTAATGGAACACCTAGAAAAAACACTCTGGTTCAATAACTGAGATCTTGAATTAAAAAGATAAGAAAACGGTAGATGATGAGAAAGTTCCCAGCTTAATACCTTGGAAAGCTACTACTAATAACAAACTGACCACAAAGGGCTTACTGTATATACAGGAAACAACACATTAAATGACTGAGATGCTAGCAGATCTGAAGATTATTTTTTCCTTACATAGAATGGTTGCTACATATTTGCAAACAGTATTTACAAAATGACTGCTGTATTGGATTTAGCCAATTATAAAAGTTTCATTTACTGAAAAACAAAATGGGTAATTACAGCTCAAAAAAACATTCTAACAAAGTAGGAAATACACAATGATTGCTATTCATTGCTTTACTTAAATAAACTGTAATAATTCAGAGCATTTAGTGCACTATCATAAGATTAGTAAAGTAATAGAGCTAATTAATGATATAACTCAAGCATGTTGCATGTCCACTATCAATATCCTACTTGCAGTGATTTCATTGTTTTTGTAATTGAATGTAAATTGAATGTAATTTTAATCTTCATAAGAATATAACAAGTTAGACAATCATTGCATAATATCTTTTTTTTAAAAAAAATCATAGTAAGCCAATTATCCTTTAGTTTATTAGTCTGGATTGCTTTCCAGGTCTTGGTGATATATATTTTCCATTTGGATTAGAGATACTATATATATACTCATCACTTTGTAGTATCTTTCTAGAGGACAGCCTCTTAATTCCAATAATTTCACAAGAATTTACAAATCTAAACATTGAACTGTGAATTCAAAAATATTCTTCAAGGTACAATTCTTAAAAGCAACATGAATATAAACGGCATGTTAAAAATATTTACCCATATAAATATATATATATTCTACTACAAAAGTGGGTTTCAGTTTAAGGGTAGAATTTTGATAGAATATTTGTTACATTGCAGAAAGCAATCTATATTGCTGGCGTCTCTGCCTTGCTCGCTGTCTGAGCCTGCGAAGTGAGAGGCTCATTGGCTGCTTTCCAAATTTCTCCATGATCTCTTTGATTCGGGCCAAATTGGTTTTGCTGATGGTGAAATCACACTGGGTTGCACCCATGTCATATCCTACGGCACAATTTTTCATGGACGTAGTGTAGCCCTCGGCTTTTACGCTGACCACATATTCTCCTGGATTTAGAAGCCGCCAATAATCTCCATTGTTTGCTGAGGAGGAATCAAAGAATAATAAAATATTGAAATACATTTTTCATTCAGTACCATCTGGTTTTTTGTTTTTGTTTTTACCCTAAACCTTACTTTTGCTTAAATATTTGATTATCGCTCTAGGATTGCTACTAAGGATTGATATAGGAATTAATTATTTGTCAGGCTTAGTTGCTTTTAATCCTGGAAATATTTCACCAACCATTTAATGTGCAGCGCAATCATATATATTGAGTTAATTTTATTAAACTATATATTTCATATTCTCTGTTCTACAATTAGTGAGAATATATGAGAGGCTTTTAGAAATCATTTTGTATGCCACAAGTAACAGTGGGATTTGGATGCCTTTATAATAATCCATCTATCTGACAACGTGAAGGGTTTGGGGCATTGGTCTCCACATTGCAATATTATGATTTTTTTTCCTTCTGTTTCTTCTTGCTAAACTAATCTGAGCCTAGATTGAGCTAAACAGAAATATATAATTAAATTCCTAATGTTAAAACTGTTGTATACCCTTTACTGCCAAGGATATTTCAATTTCAGTGATAGGAAGTCAAATGGTAGAGTTCCAAGTAACAGCCCAACAAAAATCTAGATAGTAAATCTAAATAGAAATCTAAATAGTAAGGCAGATTTAATGATTAATCTTTTTTTTTTAAAAAAAAAAGGATGACAGTCAAACATTTTGTGTCTAGAATGGTGCCCCCCCCCAATCTTTTGGGCACCAGGGACCAGTTTCACGGACAGAGGTTTTCTTGCAGATCGGAGGGGGCATAGTTTCACATGATGCCTGCATCCCATGGATGGGGCTTCGCTTGTTTGCGCAGCCCAGTTTCTGGCATGCCATGGCCCAGTGCTGGTCCACGAACCAGGGGTTGGAGCTGGGGACCCCTGGTCTAGAAAAATCCTAAATCAATCTCCTGCATAGTGAATGAAATGACACATGCTACATATTTGCCTGGTTCATTTTTGTCTGTTGTTCATGAAGGAAAGGGAAGATAAGACACCTGTGCAAAATAAAAACCAACTCAGATGATAGTTAGAAACAGGTCTAAGACAACTCACCATGGCTGATTCACCCCGGTCAATTTACCCCATCTATCTTGCCACAGTCAATTCACTCAACCCAACTCACCATGGGACAATTAAATTCAGGATAACCCAAGAGAGGGACAAGGGAATTGCAGTGGGGCTTGTCTTGCTTTGGGTCTGAACCTTCTTAGGTTAGAAATCCTCGAGGCTGGGGTGAGCCAGAACATGGAGTCACTAGTCCCCATTGTCCTTCTCTTGAGTTATCCCACATCAAATTTTCTCACAGCAAGTTATTCTGCAGCAGGTTGTCCGCAGTGAGTCATCTGGGACAAGTCATCTAGGAAAAAATGTCCTAATCTGGGCAGAAGCAATATAATTTTATTATCTTTGCCATTCCCAGTGGAACCATCTGTTGGACTAGAGGGTTTTGGGATGACAAATTATATATAGATGATATCCTAGGCACTAAAACAAAGCAGTTACAGAGCTTGAGATCAATTGCAAGGATCAAGCTATGATCCTGTTTTTTTTTCTCTTGATGAATATTTATCCTGCCTGTTCTCTGACATCTTACATGGGCTTTCCTTTAATATATCTTCACAGTAATAACCCATTGGCATAATTGAGCTAATATAAAGTGACAATAAATTATGCAGAGAATATCCTGCTCCTAGTTTTCCAACACCAGAAAAACTAACCTGACATTTTGTCTGCAAACTGTATGTGTGAAAGAGAGAAAATGAGATTGAATACAGTTGTGGTATTTCTCATTCTGTTTCCTGAAAAAAGTCAGTTGATAGACCACTATAATGAGGTGAATTACTAAGTTTTCAGATGTCACAAATGTTTTAAAATAAAAACTGAGACCATTTTTTGAAAACTTCATCTATTATACTAAGCAATTTTATGATGGGCAGCTAAATTCTAGTCTAATAACTATGATTGGCCTATGATACAAACAATACATGCAAGAATTTATATTGATGCAAATCTAATGTCTACCTTGGATTTGGGTATTATGGAGCATTAACTTGTATGTGATAATAATACAAATGGGCATATATACACATGTTTTTCTGAAGATTGCATTATTTTGACAGTGAGATTAAAATCAGATTCCATAGGCAACATTTACCTATCGTGAATTTTGCTATATAAAAAGAAACCGTATTGTGTATATTAAACATGTAATTTTCTGTGATATTCAGTACGACATGTATAGTGAATTTCCATCAGGAGATATTATTCCTCAAGAAATCAGATACAAATGGAGCACTGGATGCAGTGATTAATTTTGCCACATATACCACTATGCCTGTTTATTGTTGAGTACAATAGCATGGACTATTGCAAAGAAATCGCAACAGTATATTAGCCAATTATGTTTTATTTTTCTGTATATGGTTGAGAGCATAGGGAATTATCTTGAGGGTAGGAGGAACAGCTGCTATCAAGGCAATGATTAAATAAGAGGGACTTGAGTCTGGGCCAAGAAAAAAAAAGTGAGAAGACATCTCTGACAAGGATCTTCTAGCTCATATGAAGCGAGGAAAGAGACATTCAAGATTCTGTTGCTATAATTGTTGCAATAAAAGTTGTCCTGACCAATATGGCATTGGCTTAATAGATTGGTCTACCTTGTTGGGCTGGCAAGAATAGGGCTACTTAACTTGAAAGGTTTGTGCATGCCACTAGCTTGATGTTCAAATAGTTGGGCTAGTGTCTGTTTTAGCGCCTTGGCCACAATCAGTTAAATGATCCCTTAATAAAACAGGTTTGTGTAAATCAGTGTTGGCTGTTTTGGTCGTCCTTTTTTTCATTTTCTTTTTATAACAAAAATGTGTATTTACCTGTGCGGACATCATGGTTCACCCCTTCTATGGAAATAATGGCATTTGGAATTCCCTTCCCATGTTGATCCCTGACTATGCCTTTAATTCCACGATGCACCTGATGGTGAAACAATAGGGACAAATGAGGATCAGCATCAATACAAAAATGAGTTACCTGCTGATGACTGTTTTTCAAAGCTGTATATTTCATTGTGGGATAAAGACTTTAATCTTTACATAAAAGGAAAAGAATCTTTGGCATGGGCAGTTATAACAAATATCCTCCTCCCCAGTGGTGGGATTCAGCCAGTTCTCACCACTTTGGGAGAACTGGTTGTTAATTTTCTGAGCAGTTTGGCAAACTGGTTGTTGGAAGAAATCATTAGGGCAGAGAACTGGTTGTTAAATTACTTGAATCCCACCACTGCTCCTCTCCTCCTCCTCCTCCTCCTCCTCTTCTTCTTCTTCATCATCATCATCTCAAGGATTAGGAGGTCCCAATGAATAAACAGCTTCAGAACATTTGACATTAGGGCTATATTAGAGGGGAAAAAAACAAAAACTGAGATATCAAATGGATGAACCATCTTAGGAATTACAGTATGATATTAGAATATTTTAGACAAACCTGTATGCCTGACTTGTTATTATTTGTTCCTTCCTGCTAGGTTAGCATGCTAGCCATACTATCTTTGAGATTTGGTTGGTGGATTGAAGCAATTTGATTTACTGGGCTACATGATCCTGATTGATCCTGCTCTCTCTTCACTCCCGTTCAATTCAGCTTGCTGTGAATGTTTTCTTACAAGGGCACTTTCAGTAGTTTGTATGTTTTTGGGGCAGGGGGAATTTAAGGTCTGGTATGGAATGCAGCCTGCATGTGTATGGAGGAGGGTACCTTTTACCACTAAACTCACATATGTAGCTACAACTGAGGATTCTGTGCACAATCTCCAAAAAGGACTTCATTCAAAACTGTAATAAGGAATACAAATTTAGGATTACCAAGAAAAGTTTGTAGTGGTATAAGAATAGATTCACAACACCACATAAGTCATTTAGTCCAGCCCCTGCTAAAGTATTTCAGACCTAGGCAAAATAGTGCTCTGTTGCAGCTGAGATGCAAAATAACATATGTAAATATAGGCAAAGGACGTAACTATGGATGCAGAGAAAAAGAGAATACATATGTAGAAAAGCAGGGGCAATAATGCTGAGGATTTGTAAGAATGGGATATATGTACTTCACAGGTTTCCATCAAGGTCACATATTCAATCTTTGCAAATCCATCTTGACTTGATTTTAATGGGACCCCTGAAATATTAAAAGAGAACCGGTCTGGTGTAGTTCTTAAGGCACCAGGCTAGAAATCAGGAGACCGAGAGTTCTAGTGTTGTCTTAGGCATGAAGCCACTTGGATGACCTCGAGCCAGTCATACTCTCAGAATATTATCAGTCTCAGAATATTAAGAATGCAATAGTAATTTTTTTAAAAAAATCTTGCCATGAAAACTACAGGACTAGAGAGCACAATAATAATAATGCCATCAAAGATTAACCATTTGCGATCTCACGTTCTTGGAAAGGAGTCAATGAGGTGAGCAAAACTGTCAGATCCAGTCTAAATATCTGGCTGGCTATGCGACCAACCAGAATAATACTGCAATAATAATAAATAAATAATAATAATAATACCAAAAGAGTCTGTTCAGTTCAAGTAATTGGAGGGCAGTCTATAATAAGCTCAGAAATAAGAAGCAACATGGAATTTGGGAAACACTTTAAAAAGCTGCAAGATGCTTGAAAGTCACAAAATTTGATTCACTGTTTCAAAGATTTTGTGGCCTTGATCTGTGAATTTGCATAGCCATATTGAATATATCATTCAAACTCTTATTAATAATAGAATGACCTGCATTATATTATGTTTGGAACATAATAGCGATATAATGTAAGTCATTAAACCTCACATTTATAGGTCTGCTGTAATGATTTTCAATTAAATAACTTGTTACTGAGTTAATAGAACTTGATCCTGAGTTTCCTCTCTAGTTCAACTTATTATGAAAGATTGAACTATAAAATAATGATTTAAATATATATAGATAAGCAGATAAATTGTTATTTGTATATTCCGTACCAGCTTTGAACCATCATCTTAAAAATATTGCCAAGGTCAGAGATATAAGAAGCTATTAAACCCACTTTAAGATATAGGTTAGACTTACTTATAGAAAATAGCTTTTTTGTCTGAACTAAAATAGCTTCATTTTGAGGGTGGGGCGATGAGAGCGGGGAAGAAAATAATTTGATACTACTTTTGAAGGGTAAAATTTTTTATTCATGCCAATACAAACTAAGTATATTTAACATTTCTCTGGGAAAGCATCACCAAACAAACAAGAACATGGATAACTCTCCAAAATCATAAGGATTACATGAGGAATAAGCAAGCAGCAGAGAACAAGTTGTGGTTAAGATAAACAATCTCTTCTCTTTCTCACATTTAGTCTCTAAACTTTAAGACCATTTTTATTACAATTCGCTGACAGAACCTAACAGATTCAATCATTCAGTCTAAACTAAGTTATACCTAGTTAACACTTAAATGGGAGATCATGAAGGTCTAGCTGCAAGCTAGATTGGAAGCTGAGAAAAAAATAACAGAAGCACATAAGAGCGAATCACATCCTATCGCCGCCAAGAAAACTACATGGATATCCACGTAATCACCAGGATGACTCAGCTCAAAAGAGACTTCATTTTGTCATTGCTTATGGAGCCATCAGGGAAGTGTGAACTTAAAAACAAGCAAATCAAAAAAGTGATAATTGAGAATCTTAGTTGCCATGGAATGCAATGTGATTGCGGATGAAAAAAAAAATCAGCAATAATCCCTTGTAAAGATTGGGGAAATAGAGCATTTGTAACAGCAGGGTTTTATATTGTGACAGTTTGCTGCAGTTTACACTGTTCCTTACCAATGGGCATAAAGTCGTTCAACACTACATACATACATACATACATACATACATACATACATACATGTAGGTCTTTGGTTATTCGGGTCTTCTCCCGTGTAAAATTGGAAGTGTCTTGGCGACGTTTCGACGAAGTCTCATTCGTCATCTTCAGGCTGGTGTTCTCGGCTTCGTGCTTCCAGGAGCAATGTGAGATCGCAGCTGTCTCTTCCTTTTAACTGCTAGCAGTTAAACTAGCAGTTAAAAGGAAGAGACAGCTGTGATCTCACATTGCTCCTGGAAGCACGAAGCCGAGAACACCAGCCTGAAGATGACGAATGAGACTTCGTCGAAACGTCGCCAAGACACTTCCAATTTTACGTGGGAGAAGACCCGAATAACCAAAGACCTACATACAAACACCCGCGAAAACCTGAGAAAACAAATATATATATATATATACACATACATACATACATACATACATACATACATACATACATACATATATGGAGACCTGTCCCAGGTTGTGGTGGCACTGGGAGGGCCCATGGGGACTGCAGTCACATAGCATCTCAGTTTGCTTCCTACTGATATCTCTGAGTCTTTCCTCACTAACTAGTCTGAATAGCAGGGAGAGGAATGGCAGTGGAGGAAATTGGCTAGTGACAACTCTGATCATTCCCACAGTAGCCCAGCTGATGTTGCCTCCAAAGGGACAAGCTATGATAGATTTTATACACCTTGAAACTATGATGGAATAGTGCCAGCTAAAGAAGGAAATATGTCTATCGCATAGATAAATTTCTTTCTTCAGCTGGCACTATTCCAACTAAAGCAGTATTCCAGTATTTGAGGGGCTGCCACAAAGAAGAGGGTGTCCACTTATTTTCCAAAGCACCAAAAGGCAAGACAAGAAACAATGGATGGAAACTAATAAAGGAGAAATGTAACCTGGAATTAAGGAGAAACTTCATAACAGTAAGGATAATTAACCAATGGAATAGCTTGCTTTCAGAAGTTGTGGATGCTTCATCATTGGAGGTTTTTAATGAGAGACTGGACAGCCCCTTGTCTCAAATATGGTCTCTTGCTTGACCAGGGGCCTGGACTAGAAGGCCTCCAAGGTGCCTTCCAGTTCTATTCTGATTGATTGATTGGTTTCCTAATAAACTGGGGATGAAATGAAGCAGGACATGCAACCAAAACAGAAGGTTGGCTTTATCAAAGTTTTATTGTGTCATGATAAAGTGCAGAAATGGTCTTTTACATTCCTGGGTAAAAGAGCAAATGGGGACAGGTTCTCTGTTGTTTTTGTTTGTTGAATTGTGGTGTGTGTGTTGTCTTCATTTTTATTTGTTAATGATAGTTTTCAAGCTGTGTGCTAAAGACAACGTGGTTTTAGTTTGTTGAAAATTGCTGACATCTGATCAAATGCAAATTGATCAAACACACATTGTGCAGTGTGTTAGATTCCTCAGCCAGTAATCAGAAAAATGTAAATTTTGTGTTGTTGTTTATGGGAAGTGTTCAAGAAAATCAAGCTGTGTATTGCTTTTTGCTAAGGTTTCTGTGGCTGTATCAGCAAACTGGGGGGAAAAAAGCTTGTTTAAAATTTTGCTTCCTGCAGGATTTTAAATATGCCACAAAAAATAGCCCTTTGGCAACATTTCTATGTAGGTTGGATAATGTGCATTATTATTAAGATGGGTTACCCATATACTTACTAGGGTAAAAAATAAGAGAACAAAGAGCTTATTTTGAATTCCTACTGTCCCTCTATGACTGATCACTCAAAACATGAAGTGTTTATCCATAGCCCAAATCCAAATACTTTTTTTATTTAATGCACAATAAGGCATTTAAAAAACAACAGCCCTGATCTCCAGCAGAACTGGTTATTGGAAGAATTTTCCCTCTTATGTATTTATGTATTTGTGAGTAGTGGTGAAACATGCTGATTCACATCAGAGGCCAAAATGTTTACTTGTTTAAAAACTAAAATATTTCGGCTCCCAGAGATAAACAAATCTCACACATTCTTGTTATGAATTGCATTGGAAACAGATCCAAACTTTACCAACCACATTGTTTTGCTACCGGTACTTACCTGTTCCATGAAAACAATAAGTGACTCCCGATTATTTTCCCATTCTTCTGGTAATTCACTTTCATGAGGGTATTTATCACAGCCAACGTATATAGACAATTCAAAACAATTTGTATGTAGATAGCTAAAGTCATTTATGCCTGTAAGTGCAATGATGAGAACAAAAAAAAAAAAAAAAAAGAAACTGTCATTTCTTCTAAGAAGAGTCATTTTTTTAAAAAAAATTAAGCATTTATCTTAATAGTTACAAATGGACTTGGTATTTCTAGAAAATATGTGTATTTTAAAATATATCAGTAACTTAACTAAAAGGAAGTCACATAATATGAAATCAGCATTAATGTTTTTATTGTGGAACATTAAATTAGGGTCATAAAAATATGGCTATGATCTGGCATGTAAATATCTTGCTGTTATAGATATGAGGACATATTCAGAGCCAAATCTGAAGCAAGTTCAAAACCAATATGCATAAATGTAATGTAAAACATATCTAGGAAACTGCAGACTTCTTTTTTACTACCACATTCTTCAGAGGTTCAAAAGCTGTATTTTCTTAACCAGAGTATATTACAGATCAATGGTTGAGAATGTAACAAATCATATTCTGGTTAAAAAAGTACTGCAAAAAAAAAAGTTTCTTTAACTAAGTTGATATTATTAGAGGAACAGTATTCAAAAAATTTAAAAAAGAAGAAATTCTCAAGCTCTCAGATTTAAAATAGCCATAACAGAAATCCAGCCAGGGATCAACACTTTCAACAGAAAATGTATTTTGAGTGCTAGCTATCCATCATGCATATATTTGTAATAAATCTTTTTCTAACACTCTGATCAAGACATGTAGAACTTAGACTATGAGCAAAGATGACTATTAATCTTTTCTCCTAACTTCTAAACTTCAACTTGGCTCTCCCCAGATGGATATGAAGGAAGGACAAGGATAATTTCTCCCTTCTCTTCATTGTTTCTCATCCTTAAAACCTTCTGTTATTTTCCTTGAAAAAGTAGCTATATATTTCATTATATGTACCTGTTGATAATCAGTTGTTCTAACCCTAAGATTCTAGACATGACTAACAGCAAAGATTCATGAATCAGAATGAGCTCACAAAAAATGCATGCTTTTCAATTCAATTCATTAATCTGAAAAAAATATGACCAGAGATCTCCTGGGGTTTGGCTGCCAAAGACAGTTCACTCCTGCAATGTCTATGAAGATTCATGAAAACAATATAGGGCCAATGTCACATTATACTCTTACCAATGTCCAAGTTAATTAAAGAGCAGAAGAACACATTTTGTGGACTGCTATCTGGATTAATTTCATTATGGACACTTCTACACAATGCCTTTGCCCTGGACAGAATCAACTTGGGAACTGTGTATTCTCAGGTTAATTTCTGCTTCAGAAGCTTTAACTCACTTATTTCAAATGTGGTGTTTTTAATATGGCAGAAAAAGGGATATTTCCATTGGTAATACCGAAACTCTGCTGACATTGTGTGAAATCATATTCCTCATTGATGGAATTTCTTGTCACATCTTGTTTCCTTGTTTCTGACCTTCGGCAGATTGTTTCAAGACTAGCAATCAGAGAATATTGTTATAGTTTCTCTTCGTAACAAAGATAGTGCTTCCTGGCTCCATAAAGGAGTTTTTATTTTGTTTTCTAAGATCTCTCTCTCTCTCTCTCTCTCTCTCTCTCTCTCTCTCTCACACACACACACACACACACACACACACACACACACACTTAATATACAGCGTTGTATACAGTATTAGCTGTATTCCATTATAGAACACAGCTGGGATTTTATGTACTGTTTTTACTGCAAATTATTATAATGATGTTTCCATTTGCCACATTGAAATTCCCTATAGCTTGTGGGTGGTCTGTCTTCCCTTTAGTAGGAATTCTTGCTTCATCCTACTCTGGGAATTCAGATGTCTTTTTTGCTGCAATATATATTTTGGAAATGTAGATGTCGGGGTAGTAATTTATTTTATTACCTCTTTTTGTGATGAAAAGGGATGTTGACAAAGGATTGAAATGAGAGGTATTCTAGGTAACACTAGTAACATCATCAGTTCTAAAAGACAGTAGGTTTTGCTTCCAATTTATATCCATTCCCACCAATGCTGACATGCTTGTATAACTTCAGGATAATCTCACAAATACATATAGAGAGACGTAATTTCTAAGGTGATAATTATTTTATTTTAAATCAATCCACAGTGTCGGCAGACTTGATATGACTGGTTGCAGTTTTTAAGACTCTCTAGATCAGTGTTTCTCAACCTTGGAAGCTTGAAGATGGGTGGACTTCAACTCCCAGAATCCCCCAGCCAGCGTTGCTGGCTGGGGGATTCTGGGAGTTGAAGTCCACCCATCTTCAAGCTACCAAGGTTGAGAAACACTGCTCTAGATCATCCGCTATTCATTTTTTCTATAGCCCTTGTTTAAATTAAACCATAATACTTCAGAGTAGCCTTTACCATTAAAAAATCCATGTGGATATTCCTAACCTCATTGTTATAAAACTATCCTTTTTAGCAAAATAAATTGAGAACTAGGCTGAAATATATCAATCTGTCAATGAATCAATGAATCAATCAATCAATGTTCATTGTAGGACCCTCCAAGCTGGCCAAATTGAGTGGCCCACCTGCAGGTTCTGCCTCTGATATTTTGGGTCGTGAACAAGTCCTTTTATCACTTTTATCACTGTATGGCTGATGTGATGGCTTTCTAACACTTCATTAAAATCACTTTGTGAGCGGCTGTTTGATCAACATAGTATCACATTTGCATTTAGAAAAAATTAGATCCATTTATTGCTTTCCAATTATCCGATCTTCATTATGGATATGGCAATAAATCTATTCCTAAGAATGCAAATAGTGGACAAAGCTCAGATAAGTTGTTTGTATTGCAAACACAAAAGAAACCATTTCAATGATGGTCAGCTAAGAATCTCTCTGTCAGCAAGTATGCATGCCACTGAACCAGCTTTTAACTCCTGGAAAGTGCTTGGTCTAGACTCTGAAGTTTTTTTGGCAAGATTTCAGAAATATTTGCCATTGCCTTCTTCTTGGGGCTGAGAGAGAATAGCTGGCTCAAGTTCACCCATCTGGCTTTGTGCCTAAAGGAAGAGTGCAATTCAAAGTCTCCTGATTTCTGGCCTGATGCCTACCTGGGTCTCTAGCTAGGACTCTAGCTATAATTATATGTCAGCTCCAGAGTTTAAATCTTGTGTCTCTTTCTGGCACCCTTAGTCAGTAAGAAATTTTTGGTCCTCATTGTTCAGCCCTGGATGTTGAAGATCCCTGCACAAAGTTTTGATAATGATCTTTCTTTGCTGAAACCTTTCATTGGTCTTCCCACCTTCTTCCCTCCCATCTATGCATTTTAACAATTCTTAGATCTATTTATTTTATAATAATAAAAATAATGCAAGTATATTATGAGCAAAGTTACATTAGCATACAGGAATATTCAGGTACTTAATGAGCTCTAAAGTATGTACTCTGGGGGTGGATTATATAACATAGATGTTAATTTGGGGGTTGATTAAATGATTAAAATGTGAGAGCAATGACTGATGCAGCTCAGCTAAAATCTTTTCCCTTTTCAGTTAAATGCCAAAGGTTTGCAGATTTGAAATTAATATTTTGTAAAAAGTGAATTATATGCTAAATTTTAAGCAGTTTCTTAAAATATCTTGAAATATCACATAAAGCACAGAGTCATTGTATTTCCTTATCCATGTTCTCTTTTGAAATGTTAAAGTTTATATTTCTAAGACCTAGAATAAGGTCCTACTGCCTATGGAAATTTAAACTGGAGATCTAAATCCAGATTATATAAAAATCCAGTAATTTTTATATAATCTTCATATTGAAGATTAATTCCCTTATTGCAGTTTGGATTGTGTGACCAAAGCAAAAGCAAAGTCAAGAGGTAATTATGAAACTTAGTTCATCAAAAATTATGATGAAAGATTATTTATTTCATCATCATCAGTCCAACCTAAATTCTTGGTTCTGGGTTTACAGTAGACCAGAATGAGTAGAGATGTATGATTTCAGAACAGCTGAATTTCAGAACACATAGAAAGAATAAGAAACTGTAACCAGTATTTTGAAATTCATTGCATAAAGATACAAGATTTATAGAAATTCAATAGAGATAATTAAAAATAACTTGTGAGTATAATACAGAAGTAAAATGAAAAATGTAGTTTAGATTATGGGATCGTCATAGTAAGGCAATATTATGTGATCCATGGCAAACATAATACAGCTTTTAGCTTATAGAGTCTTCAACAATAACAGGAACTAACAAAATGGTTGGGCAAATGTACATTTCATCTCAAATTAATGTTACCGAAATTCACAGGAAATAAAATTTAAAGAAAAATTTAAAGAAAGATTTTGATGATAGTTTTTATAAATGCCAGTATTTTCATAGATTGACCATAGTAAAATTGACAAAACAGTCAGTTAAGCAAAAGGATGGAAAAAAACATATTTGAAATTTTAAAGTGCTCAGTTGAAGGAAGCATTTTAATGTGATGCTAATAGATACAAATTTATACCAATAAAAAAATTGCAAAGTCATTCAAAGTCAAGGCACCACCACAGTAAGGCATAATACACTTCTTGCAATGAGCTTAAATAAAAATTCCTAGATAGTATTGCAGAGAGAGGACAGGATAGGAAAAGGTGTTCCTTTATATAAGTGGACCTCATGCCATTTAAATTTTTATAGGTGAAAATAAATACTGTAAATCTCACTCTTGCGCTAAGGGAATTAGTAGAGGTCAAAGAGTCAATAAAGTTCCTTAAGAATTGATATGATAGTTTCATCTATGGTAGATTGAAATCAAATTCCAATTTTAAATTTCTGCAGAATTTGAAAAATTAAACTATTCTGGGCCAACCTCAAATATGTTAATTACAGTGAGCCAAACAGGTTGTTCCTAGAGCAAAATTGTTTTCCACATAGTAAATATTCTTGCTGATATCCTGACTGAAGCTGATAGAGAATGCTCAAAGTTACCAGTATCAATTGAGTCTCTAGGGTCAATGGTAGATTAAGAAGCACTCTAAACTGTGCACCTATTTCTATAAAGAAAATGCAAGGTCATCTGAAACAATTACCCTGGTCTATGAATTGCCACCAGGATTCATTTTCAGTTTATCGATCTCTATCTAGGCCAGACTGAGTCAAGACAGAGTCTGAGCATTTCTAAAGTGTCATTTGATTAGACAACATACAGAAATAGAATTGAAAGTAATATATCCCTAAGAGTCTTCCCAGATGATCAGAATAAAATAATTAAATAAAGTCTCTTTTGTTAGGTTGGATAAATAGGTTTGACTGGACTAGAGATATTGATTGTGGCTCTGTTACAAATATACAACGGTGAACAAATCTTTAAACTGAAGGCAAAAAAGAAGGACTTTTTTCCATTCCTGTTCTACAGAGATGGCCCAAAACATTTTGCTTTCTAAGACAGAATACTACAGTAATCAGATCTTCACCAACTTCACAGAACTCAATCATAGGCAAAATATTTTGCCACATCAAGCCCCAAATCCTTAAATCCCTTAAATACAGTACTTCCTTCCTTAATTAAAGGAAGTTACTTAATTCCTTAAGTAAAACCTCATTAATGAATTTACTTCCCTTTCCTCACTTAAATATTATTCTCCTTGTATGGCATCTTAACTTCGGTCCAAAAAAATCTCCGATATTTTCAGAACTATAGTGCATTAATCCTTTCTTTCTAAATATTACTCAGACTATATATGTACCCGCCGCATGAGAAGATCAAATGTAAATGTTAGCTATTCATTAATGTAAATGCAGCTGTTCTTGATTGTTCTAATCTAATCATGTTGTGAGAAAGTGAATAGACCACCTTGTCCTTGGTGAATGTTACACACACTTAGCTACCTAGTCCTACCTGATTCTTTTTTAAATGTATTTTTTTTTTAATTTGATTTATATGCCGCCCTTCTCCGAAGACTCAGGGCGGCTTACAATGTGCTCAGCAATACTGCTCAGTATTGTTTGATATCTTTGTAAAATAGGAACTTAGCATACCAGTGGAATTCAGAAGAACCCACTGTCAAATTAATGGCATGTATGTGATATCATTTTCTAAAAAAACCCATGATGATGTCATGTATAAGTGATGTCATTTCTATAATTACATCATTAGGCACCTGTTATAATTTACTTTAATTGTGCCCCTTCCCCGCAGACAACTACAAAAAAATAACATTGGCCTCAAGCATAAGTACAGTAAAGATAAAGGTTTCTTTGTCAGTTGTGTCCAAATCTAGGACTCATCTCCATTTCTTAGCCAAGGCAGCCAGCATTGTCTAAAGACATTTCCGTGATCATGTGGCCAGCATGGTTATATGCCAAAGGTACACGTAACGCTATTACCTTCCCACCAAAGTGGTGCCTATTAATCTACTTGCATTGCATGCTTTCAAATTGATAGGTGGGCAGAAGCTGGGGCAAGTAATAAGAGCTCACCCATTGCATGGTGCTCGGGTCTTGAACCTGGGCTGTCAGCTCTCCCCCTGACAAGCTCAGCATCTTTAACCACTGAGCTATCGCACCCCCTATAATAGGAATATTTCTGCACAAATTATATAGATGGCATTTAAATAAGCAATATCTAGATATGATGTCCTGGATGAAGCTGATAGAGAATGCTCAAAGTTACCAGAATCATTTGGGACTTTAGAGTCAATGGTAGATTAACATTGTTCCTGTGTCTTCCAGATTGACTGGATGATATCATAGGGATAAGCAATTACAAGATCCTCTCCCTGTAAATTCCCTCCAAGCACAAAAGGAAGCTTTTTAAATATTAAAAGCTGTTTTAAAAATATGTTATTTGTCGAGACGTATTCTAAATATGCAGCTAAGAATGCTCAAAGAAGCTATTCTTAGTTTTTATTGGGCAAAAGTAGGCCAATATTTATTTTTGCCACCAAGGTATTTCATGCTAAAGCCACCATTCAACTTCTCTGTGTTCTAGCATTTATTTACAAGAATTATAACTTTCTACAAAAGGGAAAATTCAATCCAATTTTTGAAGCTGTGTCTCAAATGCAACATCACATGTATAATCATGCCATAGAGTAACTGATGTGGAAGCTTTAGCTTTGTATCTTTTATCTATTTTGTTACATTTGTCTAATAGGATCATTTTCCTACTTGATCTGACCCCACTACTTCTACATAAAAACATCCAGTTTAGTAAGAAAGCCTCTATTCTTTAGCTAGAACTTGTGGCAATAATGAATTCCGTAAAGCTAAGGAAATGATTAAGCAGCAGGTCAAGGACATGCCGTAAAGATATTCAGCACGGGTGCCTTGGTATTGAAGTCTGGGAGTTAGGTTGAAAAGACATACCGCTACAGAATATCTTTTAATTTGAAATTAATTTATTTGTTTACACACATTTTGGACAAGACTTTTACTAAGACCTTCTCACCAGCTTTGGTCGCAAGTAGATTTAGTCAAATTCCGTGCTTGATAACCATGCCTATGTGATAAAGAAGAGCTGGAATCAGCCAACACATTCCTATATTGTTCCTCTTATAGCACCCCCACTGAGAATTCAACATTTCTTTTCTAGCTAATTATAATTGTATTGGTTGATTTGTAGAGCTCTTCTGATTTTAATTATACATGATGTCTATGGGTTAGGAATGTATGCTTTATGTTATGCTCTTTGAAATGTTTTGTGTTTCTAATTAATGATTGTACTAAGTTTTCCATCTTTGTTTCTGGGTCCAATGTGGTCAGCAGAAACATTCGTAGAATTTAAATATTGCAATCCAGTTTAGAATTGTGGCCAGAAAAATGATAACCTGAGTTTATTGAGACAATTTTGGAAAGTTAGAGGAGTGGTATGAAACAAATTCATCAGCGAGTCTTTCAGATATTTTTATAATTGCATTGAGTAGATTCGATATGCCTACCATAGCAGCCATTTTGGGAAAATTGTACAAGAAAATGCTCAACTTTTAAGATGTACACATCACTCCAAAAAGTTGACGATAGTTCCTAAAGTATATTAGGATTAATCAGGAATTATAGCTTCTTTGGCTATTGCTTCTTGCTCTTGCAATTCTTTTATTCACATATATTTTTGTTTATTGCAATGCATAAATGGGTTATCTCCCTTTCCTTCCTTTAGATGCATATTAAATATTGTTTAAACTGCATAGCCTCTATTCTATTTATGTAAACCAGATATCATTTAAATCCTCTATTCCATAAAAATATGGATGTGGAAAGCCGAAGGAAAATTCTGCCTTAGCCCAGGAACATCTTTCAAAACTCAGATTTTTATCAGGACATAATTACAAAGTTTTGCTTTCCTGCTGTTTAGCAGATGACTGCCATTTAAAGTACAGTTAGGACAAGAAAGCAAAAGAACAAATAGCAATAGCACTTAGACTTAAATACCACTTCATATTGCTTTACAGCACTCTCTAAGCAGTTTACAGATTCAGCATATTTCCTAACAACCTGGGTCCTCATTTCACTAACCTCAGAAAGACGGAAGGCTTAGCCAATCTTGAGTTGATCAGGATTGAACTTCTAGCAGTGGGAAGAGTTAGCTTGAAATATTGCGTTCTAACCACTGCACCACCACAGCTCCTGACCTATTTATATATTTGACATATGTCTGACAAGTTGTTAAATTTTTATTTTGAACTACCACTTACTTCCTGCTACAGTATGCCAGGAAGCTCCATTTACTGTTCCATCTTCCTTCTGGAAATCCTCTGTATGACATACTCTTCGCCGAGCATCCGTCATTAGTCGGTGAGTAGAGGCATACGAATAGGCCAGCCATCGAAAGACGTGGTCATCTGGAGTAGGTGTGTGCTCCTGAGTCTTCCAGACTGAACGGACCATATCATATGGATAGGCAACTACAAGCTCTCCTCCTTGTAAATTCCCTCCAAGCACAAAAGGGTTCTTTTCCATCCAGGCTATCACAGCTCGTGTTTCCACTGCTACCTATGAAAGAAAAAGTGTACAAGAATTCTAAGCTAGCTTTTCAAGAGACTCTCTAAATACGTGGACACAATTGCAAGTTTATTATCCAAAGGCAACACTTGTGCATTCACATTGTTTTGATTGTGGAGTCTGGAACAGCCAACAAACGCAAGAAAAATATCAAAGGGAACTGAAGTCATGATAAAAGGAATGTAAAAGGAAGTTTTAGCAATCCTTGCTAAAATGACCATAAATGTTCCAGCAGGATCAAAATCAGAAACAGATTGTAAAATGTATGATTTCCAAATCACTTTGGAAATAAATATGTATAATTTGCTGATGAAGAAAAATAAGGAGTCGCTAAAGGAGTTTGGTGAAGGTTTCATTTCAGATTTGGAAGGAATGAACCATCAAACGAACCATCAAACGAACCATTTCCCAAATCTGTTAGAACTAGCTATGTTCATTTTCTTCCACTAAAACTGAACCACACTGATTCTTTATTAACAATAATATAAGCTGTTTAAAAATCCCTCTTTTAGGAAGTAATAGTTACAAGAAACAATGTTTGGAGCTGATATATATGACCTTCGCTCGTTTCGCCGTGATTTGAAGACCTGGTTATTTCGTAGCCTGGACTGATGAGGGGGTGCTTTTTTAAATAGTTTTTTAATTGTTTTTAAATTGTTAATTCAGACTTTTTAATTTTATATTGTATTCATGTTATTGTGCATTTTACTGTTGTTAGCCACCCTGAGTCCATTGGAGATAGGGCGGCATATAAATCATATTAAACTAAACTAAACTAAACTATATGACAAGGGCAAACAATATAACTATGTTACATCTTCCATAAATAAGTTACACAAGTCAGTGTGGCATTGCCATTAGCATTATTGAAGATTATATTTTGAAAAGTTCTTCAGGATGTAGGGTCAGAAAAGTCAGGATGCAGCACATAAAAGAAGGTACAGCTTCAAATCTTGTTGCAGTCACCATTTGACTTTTTTTTTTTTTTAATCATTCTGGCAATCTGTGGTTCTTCTCCCATTGGAAAAAAATTAGCCCAAAGTTATCAGAATTACTTGGGTTAAAAAAAATCCCCAGAGCATGCTAAATTATACATTATAAAGTACTTGAAATCTATATTTTAGATTACAACATTAGAAGTAGATTATAGAAAGGTCAACAGCCTTACTTGCAGAATATTAAACTGTAAAATTATAAATTAAACATACTGGAATATGCTGTGCTGTTTTGTAGTGAAAAGAACTGAAATAATTTTCAACTACTTTAAATAACTTGACATTTTTCTTTGTAAAATTTCTACTTACTGTAGCATTTTCCGACAGATACCATTCTGGAATCGGAATTTGATGATTTGGGACCTTTCTCAGAAGTCTTCTCCGATCTTCAGATTCCCAGAGAAGTGTATTTAAATCGGGGAAGTTATTGTTGATATCAATACCTTCCTGAGTCCATCGTCCTAAAGACCAGCCTCCTAATTCAGAACCCTATAATGCAATGATCAGATCATTTGGCTTATTTTATAACTGCAATTATTGCAGGAATATAATGACAACTCTGCTTACTTTTCCTATAGTAATAAAACTAATCTCCTATGTGCATGGTAAAATAAGTCATTTTGGTTTTGAAAATGGATTGACTAAAATACCACATTCTTTTGTATCCCATTCTTTGTTTTTCTCCACATTATAATGTGAACAATTGGACAGCATGTCTAACTTAAATCCTCATTTCAATAGGATACAAGGATGACTCATTTAATTCACATTTATCCCCTTATCCCCAACACTTTGACATTTTGTTGGACTTCTTTCTTAGTACACTTTTGAATATAATGATCCCTTCTTTTCTTTTCCGTGCTATTACAAATGTCCTGTATATCATTAAATCTTCAGCAAAGAATGTGAATTCTGTCAAAACATAAAATGCCACTTTGTAAATAAAAAAAACTCCAAAACCCAGCATTGAATAGTAATTGTATATGGAGGCAGCCACAACTGAATTTCTGCATAATTGATTCCCAGAAATGTAATGTTAGGATTCTGTCAACATTATTTTAGTTAGAAATAGTAATAACTTAATAGAAAGGGAGCAAGTAATGGGATAGCATCTAGCTAACCTTGGCCAATCTTAAAATACTAAGCAGGGTTGAACATGGTTTGAATTTAGATGAGAGACCTATAGGACATTCCAAGGCCATAGGCTTCACTAGGAAGTTGAATAATATTCTGAAAGAAGGCAAGGGGAAAGATCCTTTTGCATCATTGCCAAGAAATTACAAAGCATATTCACAAAAAAAATCAAGTTAGCTTGAAGAAGATTTTACACATAATGTGCACATACACATAGAATGGGGAAGCTGTGGCTCTCCAGATGCTATGGATTTAAGTTCTAGTACCACTAGGTCCTATTAGCTGGAATTCTGGGAGATGTGGCTTATCCACACTTGAAGTTCCAAAGATTCTCTACTCTAGTTTAAGGGATTCTATCCTCTTATTTTCAAATGCAGGACAATTCTACACATATTTTCTTCAATGTAATAGTTTGTAAAGCCCAGCACAGCTACATAAGATCAAGGCAGCAAAAATTATATAGACTTCAGTAAGATATGCTATTCTACAGTAAATACAATATCTTGGAAATTCCTAGAATAAATTCCTCATTTGTACTGAATTATTAACGCATAATCTCTTGAAATATTTGAGATGCCACTTAGACTAAATTGTCATTTATAAAATAGGCTCTTTCTATGTCTCATCCTCCCCACAACTATCACACAGGTTCCATTTCTTCAGACTATCACAGGACTAGGTTAGTGTGGGAGGAAAACATTTTACGCATGTTTTATTGTGTTTATAAACACATTTTTGCCTAGTATTGAATGTAATAATCTGACAACACAATGGTTACAGTGCAGTACTGCAGGCAATTCTGCCCGCAGCCTGGAGTTTGATCCTGATGGTGCTCACAGTTGATTCAACTGTTAACTTCCATCCTTCCAAGGTTGGTAAAATGAGAATCCAGATTGTTGGGAGCAATATACAAATAGTGCTTCTACATTGTAAACCACCCAGAGAGTACTGTAAAGGGCTATGGGGCAGCATATAAGCCTAAATGCTAAATGCTATTGGTAATAAATATTATGATTGAGAACTTGTGGATTAAAACAAAATCAGGACCACAATAATATTCCTATAAAATACTGTTTTTAGAAGAAGAAGAAAAATCAGCATATCTTTTTTTTTTTTTTAAAGCATTGCTTTTTATGTCCAGTTTAACAGCAAAGGGTTGTCTAAGAAAGCCTTTTTCATTGCTTCTTCTGACATTCCCTTTTTCCTTTAATTGTACAATATGCTACCTAGGCATTTTTGCCACTAAAGAAATGTTTGACCAAGACGTCAAGTTAAGTGAATTACTGGAAGAAATGAAAGACTAATCAAATAACATCCCAAAAGAGCTGCCACAAAAATCTCTTAAAGGTTCAAACCATTCCTATTTTGACAGTAGACTCTTGGAATATATATGTTATTTCAAAATACGAAGCTGGCAATTTGAAATCAACATTTGGCAGAAGATAATGCCTATAGTGATTACTTTAGGGAATGAAGTAAACATAAAAAAGCATCTCATTTTCGGTTATATCCAAATTAAAGCAAGCCTCAGGAAAAAGATGTGGCTCTAATTTGTTGTGGTTTCTAAAACACGGACAGCAAAATGTCAGACTATTTTAAGATGGAAGAGCATGAAAACTGCAGTGATATCTTACAATCTACATTTTGCAATTAAAAAGAAAAAAGTAATACCCCTTTACCATAAAGTGAGCTGTGCTCAGGCACCTAACAGATCGTGAAAAAAAAAATGTATTAATACTATCAGAAAATATTGTTCTGTAAACTAGATTGGGAAGTCAATACAGGTAGTTCTTGACTTACAACAGTTCATTTACTGACTGTTCGAAGTTGCACAGCAATGAAAAAAGTGACTTATGGCCTTTTTTACACTTATGACCATTGCAGTATTCTCATGGTCATGTGATCAAAATTCAGGCATTTGGCAACTGACTCATGTGTAAAATGGTTGCAGTGCCCCAGGGTCATGTGATCCACTTTTGTGACCTTCTGACAAATAAAGTCAATGGAGAAATCAGATTCATTTAACAACTGTGTTATTAATTTAACAACTGCAGTGATTCATTTAACAACTTTGGGAAGAAGGATTATAAAATGGGGCAAAACCAGGGGTGAAATCCAGCAGGTTCTAATAGTTTCTGGGGAACCGGTAGTGGAAATTTTGAGTAATTCGGAGAACCGGCAAATACCACCTCTGGCTGGCCCCAGAATGGGGTAGGAATGGAGATTTTGCAGTATCCTTCTCCTGGAATGGGTTGGGAATGGAATATCCTTGCAATATCCTTCCTCTGCCACGGCCACCAAGCCATGTCCATAGAACTGGTAGGGAAAATTTTGGGATTTCACCCTTGGGCAAAACAACTGTCTTGCTTAGCAACAGAAATTTTGGTCTCAATTGTGGTTGTAAGTCAAGAACTATGTTTGGAAGATAGTAATGAGAAACCACTTCTATATTGCTGTCCCGCCGCACCTCCAAATTAAAAGGTGGTCCTCGATTTACAACAGTTCATTTAATGACGGTTCGAAGTTACAATGGCAGTGAAAAAATGACTTATGACCATTTTTCACACTTATGACCCATGGTTACATGATTTACATTCGGATACTTGACAACTGACTCACATTTATGACGGTTGCAGTGTCCCAGAGTCACATTATCCCCTTTTGCGACCTTCTGACAAGCAAAGTCAATGGAGAAATCAGATTCACTTAACAACCGTATTACCTATTTAAGAACTGCAAGGATTCACTTAACAAATGTGGTGATGAAAGTCGTGAATTGGGGCAAAACTCTCTTAACAAATTTCTCACTTAGCAACATACTTTTGGGCTTAATTATGTTCGTAAGTTGAGGACCACCTGTATATGTGATTTTTCATGTAGCCACTTAAAGTTGAGCTCTACTTTACTACATTTGAAAACAGCATTTGTATTGATGGTTTGCCACATTACCCCTTCATAGGCCTTCTCATATCCATCTGGATTGATTGCAGGAAGAAGATGAATTCTAGTATTCTCAATGAGATGCTTAATGCGCAGATTCCCAGCAAGGTATTCTTGGCACATAAACTGCATTAACAAAAGCAGTAGCTCACGCCCAAGCACCTCATTCCCATGAGCCCCTGCCATGTATCGAAATTCAGGTTCACCTATTCAAAACAAAACAAAACAAAAACCTTGGCAATAAGTCTAGTGTCCTAATTTGGTCTGTTTTTGCAACTTTTTCTTACTCTGAAAATGAAGGTTGGATTTCTAATTTATTCATGAAATTGATGACTATTTATAAACACTTGGAGTGTACCCAAGGGATTTTATTTTGCTTCTAACTCTCAAAATATTTTAAGATATTCCATGGTACTCAGTGTGACAGAAGGCTGTTTCAATGTTTCTTTCCAGTGGAATGTTCCAGAATGTCTTGGAATTATGTGACATCATGTTGTTTCAAGGAAGTGACATCTGTAGATTCTGTGGAGTAAGGACTCACTGGAGAAGAACCTAATGCTGGGAAAGATTGAGGGCAAAAGGAGAAGGGGACGACAGAGAACGAAGTGGCTGGATGGAGTCACTGAAGCAGTAGGCATGAGCTTAAATGGACTCCAGAGGATGGTAGAGAACAGGAAGGCCTGGAGGAATGTTGTCCACGGGGTTGTGACAGACATGACTTTGCAACTAACAACAACAACAACAACAACAACAAATCTTTGGAGCAATATGATGTCACATGTTGAGATATTACTCTCAAAAACACATTGTAGGACATGTAATTAGAAGGAAGCTATAATATGAGTCTTATGCTGCCAGCAGTCCTGCAGAACTTTTTATAACAAGCAGTAAGAGAGATAAAGAAAACCACTTTATAAGATTTTCATCTTCATTCTACATATTTTGAAATGAAACAGTCCAAAAGTGTGTATGTGAGAGAGAGAGAGAGAGAGAGAGAGAGAGAGAGAGAGAGAGAGAGAGAGAAAGAAAGAGAAAAAAGACAGACAGACGGGCGGACGGATGGACGGGCGGACAAACAGACGGAGTCTGTCTGTATATGTGTCTATATATATATATATATATCAGTGGTGGGTTTCACTTATCTTTGCTACCGGTTCACAGAGCGTATTTGATGACGTCCGGGCGGGTGGGTGAAGCCTCCCACCACCGCTGCTACTGGTTCACCCGAACTGGGGTGAACTAGTAGCAACCCACCACTGGTATGTATGTATGTATGTATGTATGTATGTATGTATGTATGTATGTATTCATATTTTAAGGTAAAGGTCTTTTTGAGCAGTTTCATAAAGCATCTCAGTAATAAATGTAGCCAAGTAATCCCAAAGCACTGCATCTGGAACATGACTTATGAACTATTTCCTGCATTTAGAAGATACATTTGTTAGTCATTCAATTCAATTAAGTCAGCTCAATTCCATCCCTCTTCACTCTCCATCTCTCCTCTCCTTCTTGAAGAAACAAAATCAAAACATTATTTGGGGACTTGCAGAGAGAGGAGCAAATTGCTCAGAATGATTTAATTCCAGTCATTTTACCAGGATTCTATTATTTCACCTCTTGGAAGTACAGAATCTGTCCAAAAACGTCTGGATTAACTCAGGAAATCTTATTCAGCTCAATCTGAAGAACTAAAAATGAGCATATTTTTAACCATCAGTCATATGATTCAGCTGATGTAGGCTTTTCTTTAAGCTGTAGGAAACATTTAGAAACATCTAATAAAGCAATGTTTATAATAGTTGCTTTTAGTAGAGGCCTAAATAGGTTTTCATTTAGTTGGAGATTAATTTACTGATTTATTTATTTATGAGATTTACATTCGAGGAACTGTAAGAGCCACAAAATTTGGAGGGCACCAGGTTGGAGTTGGGTCAGTGGTGGGTTTCAATTTTTTTTACTACCAATTCTGTGGGTGTGGCCTGGTGGGTGTGGCAGGGGAAGGATACTGTAAAATCTCCATTATGTCCCACTCCAGGGGAAGGTTACTGCAAAATCCCCATTTCCTCCCGATCAGCTAGGACTTGGGAGGCAGACAATAGATGGGGGTGGGGCCGGTCAGAATTTTTACTACCGGTTCTCCGAACTACTCAAAATTTCTGCTACCGGTTCTCCAGAACTGGCCAGAACCTGCTGAAACCCACCTTTGAGTTGAGTACTCTAAATGAACAGACATCAACCACAAGAACTATGTATATATTTCTGAGTATTTCATTGTAAAGACAAATATACAATTAATGTTGGGAAATCTGAGTCTCATCTTTGGATGTTTTCTATTTATATTGATTTTCTAAAATTAAGAAAATATAATTAACATTCCTCCCACATATTTTGCAGTACTGTGGTCCTAGAGGCACAAGCCTCTACCACTAGCTAGATGCTATAAATATGGGGAATATTAAAATTTTAAACATTCCAAAACCATCACCCCCAAAGCCTTCAGGCTGTTATTTTTGTAAGAATGTAATCCTAACCGACTTCGTGTTCTCCAGGATTGTCGGATATTTCAACAGCATACAGCTTTAGCCCTTCATGACTTTTTCCAATATTGTAAATTCTTGTGATATTTGGACACATCTCATTTACCACCTTCATCAGCTGTAAAAAGCAAACAAACAAGCAAAAATAAGATATTTATATAATAATTGGCCAGGAAATGGATTCAAAGTTTTACCTCACCCTTGCTTTTTTTTTTTTTTGGTTCTCTGTTAAAAGTGCGCATCAATTCTGATCCAAATCAAACTGTCAGTTCAATTTGGATTGTTGACCTGATTTGATTTAATGATTGAATTCAACTTGGGAAAAGCAAGCTAATTCCATTTTCCAAATTGATTGGAGGCATCTCATTGCATTTAGCGATTCAGTCAAAATTGTTGACCTGGTTTGAAAAGCTGATTTAATTTGGAGAATTAATTTATTCACCCTTGAATAAAATTTTCGAACCAAAGCTTCGCATAGTCATAGTCTATATACTACTATCTGTTGATCTGTTTGAGATTTAGGCCTTAGAGATGTAAAAAAAAAATTAATAAGAGCAGTAAATAAACAATGGATTCCTTATTATTCTTCACTTATAAATCATTATGGGTTTTTAAACGACTTCTAGAATAGAAAAGATTGACATGTTTGGTCTATTCCTGCAAGGTGCAATACAAGCTGAACACACGTACATGAAACACTCTATTTTGTTTGTGTTTACAAAAACTGAGTTGTCTCTTACAATGTAGTCATACCTATTAACAAGTGGAACAATTATAAAGACAATTTCTAGATCGATTCAAGCAGAGGCAAATATTATTAATTTTTAATATTATTAATAATAATTGAATTCACAATAATATTGATTCTATTAACATTCTAGAAGAAAACTCCTGCATAAGTTCCTTAAAAGAACCATTAATTAGACCTAACCTTAATTCAGTTGTACTTCACCATTATACTAAAGGCTACAGAAGGAAGTTGGCAAATCTAAGCCAGCTACAATTTTTGAGTAGAATCTAGTGCTACAAGCCAACTTATAATGAATTATCTTTCAGTGACTGACTTAAGTCTTCAACCAAATTCATTCCACCTATTTATCTGTTTCATCAGTATTCCCTGTTATCCCAATAGTATTTCCTACTGAAAAATTTGAGATGAATACAGTGCTACCTCGGTACTCATTGTTAATTGGTTCTGAGAGGCACAATGAGTACCAAAAAAAATGAGTATCAAACAGATTTTCCCATAAGATTCCTATTTTATTTATAAGAATATAAATAGATTTAATGCATTCTCAAACCAAAGACAATGCACAGGCAATATCTAAGAGGATAGGATTGTAACCTAAAAATTAATAAATACTTAAATTAAATTAAATAAAAACTTCACTTTACTTGTACAAATGAGAAAAAAAGGACAAAAATACACAAAATGACCACAGAAACAGATAAGACTGCAAGGAGATGTGCACAGGACAAGAATTTCTGTGTGACTAATGCACCACTCTTTGTTCCAAGTGGAAAGGGTAGCAAGTCACAAGGCAACCAACAGTGACAAATTCTAGCTTGTGTATTGCATACCAAACAAACAAGTACTAGGACAAAATTTTCTTATCAAAACACATTGAGTACCCAATTCAATGAATTTCAAAGCAGTTGAGAACCAACGTACCACTGTATTTTGGAAATGATTTTTTACAAGTGCAAACCATAACTCAAACATCCTTCAACCTCTTGCTTCCATTTTTTGATATGATGATTTATTTTAAACATGTAGTAGGAACTTGATTCATAAACTGTGCTGCTTCCTGGAGAATTGACACTGACACTGATAAATCTTATAATTCAATGTTTTTCAAAAGTGCATGAGCAACAAACATGAAAATCTCAATAAGAAATTGTAACATTTAATGTTATACTAAACGAAGGCAGACTAATAAAGAATGATCAGTGAAATCAAGTAACATCAGATTTTTGCCTGATTGCAAATCATTGGCTACCCTCAAATGAACTTTAATCAAAAATCATGTTTTAGTCTTTTTACTCTGGGTGAGTGATAACTGGCTTTTTTATTTTATTTTTTATTGGTTTTGTTGTAATTTCTTTATTTGATTCACAGGAGCTTGCCAGAGTCATTGAGAGTTAGGAGGCGGACAAGTAATAAACAAATTATTATTGATAAGTGAATTGGCAAGGAAGAGATGACCTGTCCCCTTATGAATAGGAAGCATCTCAAAGTTGAATTAACATGCCCTGAGCCAGGGTTTTGGATCCCATACTCAGGAAGACTATTCCCACCAAATTTCTCTTTTGCTAGTTGAAAAAAAAAATGAAATATTTTTACCGGGCACTAAAGATAGATAATAAAATAGAATAACAAAGCAAAACAAAACAAAATAAAATAAAACAGGAAGAGGATACTCTTCCTGTCTGGATACAAATTCCAAATGTTTCACAAAATATAATTGACAGCAACCCAGTAATGTCTCTACTCCTGAGTCTGAGAGACTAACGCCATCAAGACTGGAATCACATAGATTTCTAGTGCTACTCCAGAGGCAGATGCTGTAACAGAGAACATAATCTTTATTGTTTGGTGTGTGTTACTATTTAAGTTTTATGATCTCTATATCCAAGTTCAATGTTCAGCTCAGCAATTACGCATTTTATGTAATGGGAATCTCTTTTTTTAGTGGAGATATTTCTAATAATAGGAGACCTTGTGGTCTGTTCAGAGACTTATATAGGATTTTCTATTGACTACTGTACCTTGTCCAGAGTCACCTCTCATGAGATAGATGGCTACATAAATTTGATAAATAAATATAGCTAATAAATAAATAGTTGCAATCTATGATTTGAAAAACTATGTATGGTGTTGTCATGCCCAAAATAAAGGTATTTTTACCTGTAAACATTTGAAACTGCAAATGGATTTTTTTTTACATTTTTTTAAAAAAGGTTTGTTTTTCTAAATTTTGGTATATATGATGTCGAACTATATGTGCTGTGAACTCCACATGGCATCAGGAAGGGCATCTGGCCAGTAAATGTTCATCTCCATTCAATAGCTCTGATTCTATTCTGAATTAAGAGATTATAAGAAATCTCTTGTGAAGAAAGGAGGGTTTTTTTAAAGGGAGAGGGAAGAACGGTTCAATAAAATCTCTTAGCAAAATATTACAGAGTCAAAAGGTGTTGCTATGAAACGTATTAAATTTTGCCAAGAAAAAGAGCAGCACAGATTGTGGGAACCCCATGAAGTGACCAAAGAAGAAAAGGGAATATTTTAAAATCTAACAGATGAAGAACAGATGAACCTTTCAGTTGTATCTAAAAAGATTACCCCTAAAAATTTTCACAATTAATGTCAAGCCTCTTCAAAGCAATGCACAAACAAGGAAGCAAGATTCAAATGGAGTTTCACAGATCAGCCTTAATGCCCAGAAAAGAAAGGGATCAAACCTTCCAAAATGAAGAGGAAGATACAAGCTTAAATCTCAAATTCTCCAAAATTACCATGTATTTAGTAATACCTCCAGAACTTTGTAAGGTAGTAACACCTTACTACCTTACAAAGGTAGTAGTAAGGCTAAGGATTCTCCAAATATAGTTTATCACTAACTGAAATGTTTATCAAGTGCTGCCAAACCCCGTTTTTCTAAGTGGAAAATAGGAAAAAGTGGAGATAGGAAAAAATGCAAATTTGTTTGTTCAAGGAAGAGAGGATATTGATGCAAAATAGGAGAGAGAGATTCATTCTGGGTGTGCAGTGGCAGAAGCAACAGACAGAAAAGATCAAACATATCACTGGAAGGAAATGAAAAACAGACAAATGTTTATCTCATTTCGGAATTTCAGCCACCTATTAGTGGATGTCAGCGTAAATTACATAGTTGCCAAACAAAATTACACACTCAACAGAGATTACATACTGACATTCACTACTAACAGTTGTATGCTAGTATATGTGTCTTATGGCAATTGATTTGATCAGTTAAAATGGTAGATAAGTTAATCATCTTTTATTCCATCATGCAACCATAAAGAGCATTTTTGAAATCTTGACTGCACCTGTTTCTTGACCTTGCCTACTTTGAAGTGCCGACATTACACTTGAAAGTCCATTAGAACTTCTCTCTTCATTTTAAATAAGGCAAGTGTTATTTTCTTTCTTACACTTTCCTCTCTCGCAAGATTGAGAAATCATTACTGACAGTCCTTCCTAAACAAATTATTTCTTCTCTATTCTCTATTATTTCTTCTCTATTCTCTATTCTATTCTCTATTCCCAAGACTATGTGAATTCTTTCACAGATTAGCTGAACTAATGGAAAAAGAACTGGAGAAAAAAAAATTGGAACTTTATTACTATACATGTTGACAGCAGCAAGACTATTAAAAATGGAAAGACCCTTCAATTCCTACCATGCAGTAGTTGATGGAGTAGGCTGAAATGGCAAAACAGACTTCTCTGATTAAAGAAAAAAACCATAAGTACTTTTGTTTCCACATGGAAACCACTTCAGAATTTCGTGCTTGATGTGGAAAAGAATGTAATTTTGATTTTGGGTTTTACAGATTAGATTAATAGACCTTTATAGAGACCTTTATGGAAAAATAAAAAGCTATGATCTGATGTTAATGCTCTATTCTACTGCAACACAGAAAGTCGGAAGTCAATGTTTCTTTTTCTTTTCTTTTCCCTACCTTTCCTCACTTTTCTCTCCCCCTTTTCCTTCCCTTTCACTGCTCTTTTATTTACTTTTGTATTTTGCATTTTATAATATTTTATAATCTAATAAAAATGTTTTTTTTTTAAAAAAAAAATACAGATTAGCTGGACTAAAATTTTGCAAAGCAACCTTGAATACAAGTTGGGCTGCTAAGTGGCTGGATGATAGTGCAAGTGAATTTTAAAAAAATATTTGAGTGTCTGTTTTTCATAGCTCTACCAAATGCAATGGACATTACAGAACTATGTAATTCCAAATGGACAAAAATCATCACCAGCAATGAAATCCTTCCACTTCATCAGAGAGGCACAACATATCCCAGCAATGTTAAAGCTCTATCTGGTTAAGATAAGCATGAAATATTTTCTTGGTGCTCAATTGG